CCTGCTAGGTGCCTTACTTACTGAGAACCTCTAGAAGGGTTTTCCTGGTTTCCATTTCTGTCAGATTGACAGTTGCCTCATAGATCCCACTGTCTGTTTCTTGCACATATTTTACCAAAAGAGAGCCATTGGATGGATGGAAATTGACTCTGCCTCTATAGGGTTCATAGACAGTGGGACCCAGTGACCCCTCAGAGTATTGCACAATGCAGAGTGACATGCTGCCATTTGTATATTCCCAATGAATAAATCTTATGTCCTTTATGTTGTCAGGTGCAGGCAACAGCACTGAGGATCCCACAGCTGCCACCTTTCTTTCAGAGGTCCCTGCAGGTCCTGCAGCATATTGGGAAAACTGCAACAGCACTAAAGAGAAAAGGACGAGAAAAAAACACAGAGGAGAAAAAGAAAGCACTTTTCTGCACTGAAAATCAGTAAATGAACCACAGGGGCCAAAGAATACAATGGTTATATTAGTGGAAGCTGCTGGGCCAAGAGAGGCACAGGTCAGTAGCTGAGAGCATTTATAAACAGTTCAGAACTTAGTAAATTCTCCAGCCTATACTCCACTCTTGTCAGGCTGCCCTCGACATATTTATATTCACCTCACCTCTACAAATGAAGCCAGCATGTGACTGGGGCCCAAACTTAGACACTACCATTTAAAAGTTACAACTGTAAATAATTTGTCCAAGGTCACAGAGAGGGACAGGTGTTTTATAAACATTTCTGATGGGATGTGTATGTGTGTGTGTGCATGCGTGTGCATGCATGTGTGTGTGTGTGTGTGTGAGTGTGCACTTTCCTATTTTTAACACATTTTCACAGAGAATTCTTACTTCTAATATTTACATCTAGCATTCTCTATAACATGTGCCCTTTATCAGCTGTTCATAGGTTTAGCCTTAGACCTGGCTAATAAATTATGACAACCTTTGCTGTTCTCATTAAGGGTTGGCTCTGGGCACTGCAGTAAGCTAGGAAGGTTTGTTGCTATTGCTTAGGGTTAATCCTGCTGTAGCCAAATTTGGGGGGTTTTCCATTGAGTGAGTGCAGGTAGCAGAGTACAGTCTTTGTGTGATGGCTGCATTCCATACTCTACTTTAAAAGCCAAGTGTTTGCTGTGAGGTTTCATGGACCATGTGGCATTTCTAAGAATGCTGGGTATAATAACCACTAGCGATTCAAATGGCAAAGTGGTATCTCGAGAAAGAAATACATTACATATTTAAACATTATTTTTTAGCCCAGTCCTCAGCGGCTGCAAATAGGTGAAAACTCCTTAACTTCATAAGAGCTGTGCTTATTTGAATTAGCAGAAGTTTGATCACTTTCAGTGAACACCTGTTCACTATAGCTCTAGTTCCTTATTTGATCATATTACAAAATGAAAACAAGACTTTGCTCCATTCTCCTGCTTAATTTCTTTAACAGCCTTGTAGAGCAGGTGGAAACTTAAAAGGCACACATTAAGTCCATTTTCATTTACCAGTTTAAGTAAACTTTGAAATCTCTTAGGTTCTTCCTGTAAGTACAGAGAAATCCGCATGTGGAAGGAAACCAGGATATATGTGATAACTGCCATCATGTGGGCTAAGAGAAAGACTATTTGATTAATGCAGTAAATTATGTATATAACAAATGTCTTCATAAATTGAATGCAAAATAAGATAACTTGGTTAATTAATGGCTAAAAAAACTAATCCATCATAAATATTCTCATGCACTCACGAAACAGCATTTTTAAACATGAATTACTTCTAGCAATAAACATGACATTTGTATCAAAAGACATCTCCCCAGTTTTGAGCTCTGATCTTGCAAAGATTTATGCTCATACACCTAAAGCCAGGTCTTAGAATCATAGAAAACTGGAGATGGAAGGGACCTCAGGTCATTTAATCCAACTCCCTGCTCAAAGCAGGACTGTGTCCAGCTACTAAATCATTTCAGCCAGGGCTTTGTCACGCTGGGCCTTAAAAATCCTCCAAGGATGGAGAGTCCACCACCTCTCTAGGTAGCCTGTTCCAGTGCTTCACCACCCTCTCTGTGAGAGTTTTCCTAATACCCAACCTAAACTTCCCTTGCTGCGACTTTAATCTATTGCTCCTTGTTCTGTCATCTGCTATCACTGAGAACTGTCTAGCTCTATCCTCTTTGTAACCACTCTTCGGGTAGTTAAAAGCTGCTCAGTCTTCTCTTCCACAGATGAAATAAGCCCAGTTCCCTCAGCCTCCCATAAGTCATGTGGCCCAGCACCCTCACCATTTTCATTGTCCTCCACTAGACGATCTCCAACTTCTCCACTACTGACTTCACTGAGAATATTCACATGCATGTAACTGTAATTAAGCACTTGTGAGTCCTTGCCAGACTGGGGCCACCAAATCTATAAGTAGCCCTTTATGCCACTAGCTCCTACCTCTGAACAGAGGAACAGAAATGCTCTTCATTTGGCCTTGCCTTGCCTTGCCCTGGAAAGTCAAATCTCTAGCACCTCTAATTAGAACCCTGATCCCTTTAATACACTCTTCCAACATGGCCTTACTATACAAAGTTAAGGGTCAGGCACTCAGATAGTGCAGACTAACACAGCTCCATTGCCATCAAAGGGGTTTCCCTGATTTATACCAGATAAGAATCTGACCCAGTGTTCACAGCCGTTGAAAGCTGCACCCCAGCTGCATGACCCTTTACCTGCAAACACCACCTGGCTTTTCCTGGGTAATTCCAAGCAGCAGGTCAGCATCCTTTGGAAGAAACAGCCTGAATGGGGGTGGCTGTACAATAATAAAAAGTAAAGCAAATACTAAGGAAACCACAGCAGGTGTGGACAAAACCAAAAAGTATGCACTGAAAGTTGGATTTCCAAAGTTACAAAAGGGTGCCTAATTCTTGTTAACTTAGGTGCCTTCCAGTCTCCCTCTTATCAGCCCAGAATGAAGCACTACCCCAAAGGCTGGCTGGTTCTGCTTTGCTTTCTGACTCCCATCTGTGGAACTGAGTATTTACATGCATCGAGCCCTAGCAACAGTGCTTTCAGGAAGCAGAAGCAATAGGCTCTAGGGCAGATGTAGACACAGGAATCAATATCCTTTTAGATCCTGGAAGGACATTCTATTGATGGGGAGAGCATATGCTACTCCCCTTCTATAACAATTTGGGAAACCCCTAAGGTGATTCCAGTTGAGATTTCTTCCTCCAATTCAGTTTTAGTAATGATGTACCTCATACTAAGAGCACAGTAGTAGGAGTATGGGTAGTCTGAGTTCAAACTGTTTGAAACTCAGAATTTCCATTTTCTGAGAAATGCTGGTATGTCCATATTTGTTTTTTCTCTAGTTCAAAGTGGATTAAATTAATGCATTTTTGTTTCAAGTTAGATTTTGTGCTATGTTTTGGTACAGTTTCAGATCAGATTAGTTTCCCCCATTTATTTAAAAGATTTTGATATTTAAAAGAAATCCTCCCAGATTCTCCCTCAGCCACATCCTTGGTTTAAGGGCAAGTGCAATGCATAGAGTGATACAAAATAAGAAAAACTGATATGGCAATTGGGATCCATGTCTTCCATTGAAGAATTGTAAAGCAAAATACCAATCTCTGGGTAGATGCTTTTATTTCCCTTGCAGCCCCCCAAAAGATGACCCCTAATTTCTGTATATATCACCGCAAATTCCACATGACTTCTGAACAGATTGTATGATGGATTTTTTAAATTCCCTATGGTCTTCATAACAGGCAAGGTTATCACCTTTCTTCTTTTTTAACTTTATTCATGAATCCAGTTGATCAAATAACAGCATTAACATTTAAGGTTCTGTCTAATCCCTCAAAGCATATAAAGTAAGATATTTATTTTCCATCCACAGTGCTCCTTTCATCAAAAACAATGTCCACAGAGTCTTCTCTTGAGGCTGCTAGCAGTTCCTAACTGATGTCACACTTATGTTCCTTCCTCTCTAGATATAATCTATTTAATGATTTACCCTCCCCGCACTTTTTCCTCAGAAGTCTTCAAGGGGCTCAGTATCTTCTCTCCATCTCTGTTTGTAGAAGTCAAGTTCATTCGAAATTTGTTCTTACTGTTAGCTTACAGGACTTGCACTCTCCTTCAATATTTGTCCACAGTTTCTCAAATTTCTGATATGGAGACAGGAGAAGATTTCTTTACAGCATATCCCAAGAGCTTCAATCAGATTTCTAAGGAAGCATTTTTTTCCTTCTCCCCTGTAGAATGCTGACTTGTTAAGAGAGGTTTTCAATTACTGAGTCCCCCCAGCTTTTTAAAACGAGTCAGGGATTCTAGTGGGGTAGGAGGGGAGGAGGAGAGTCACTTCTTGTCCAGGCTTTTGCAATTTTAATTCTTGCTACCACTAGAAAATGAGCAATCAGTTCTGTATTCATATACTCCTTTTTTCATTGCTTTAGTGGATCATTTCTATTAACTGCATGCATGTTGTTCCTTTCAATTTTAAATGGGAGATATATGTAGCTGCGCAGAAATTTAAATTGATGGTATTGCTCCAATTATAACTTGAGTCTGAACAAAAGTCTCCCCTGTATTGTCAGGTTCAATTTTAGAATAAAAAAGTATTCCCCGCAAATATGACAATAGCCTACATTAATAAGGTTGATGTTTCTGCAAGGATCAACCAAAATGAGTGTTATAGTGCAATTATAACCAGATTGCTGGGTAACCAGTCATAGCTCTACGCTGCATATAAACTCACTGTAATCTCTATGGGGTTTTTGCAGGGGGCAAAGGAAGGGAAGGGAAAGTTGATTTATACTTGGAATGATCTAGGATTGATAAAAAGGTACCTTTGAAGTAGTATGTCCTGAATTTTTTATATTCCTTTAAAAATGTTTTAAGATACTTTCTGATCCCCACTGTGCTAAGTGGGGATCACTGGCTGCAACCAACACAAACATGGAACTCTACCCTGACTTCCCTGATATAGGTCTGTTCAAAACTGCATGTGACAAACTTCATTTTTCCTGAATTTGTTAGAGGTACAGATGTTTTTTCAAGAAATGGGAAACAGTTTGCATACAAGTTGGCTTTGGGTAGCTCATTTCAACCCACAGGGGTGCGAGGCTGGAAATACAGCTGATCCTTACCACAACAGAGAAATTGACTGCATAAGTGTATACACACAAGAGAAGCGATAAAACATTTCCATTCTCTCATTTTTTGAATCCTCTTAAGGATTACCTGTAAGAACTGCTGGTTCAAAAAGTTCCAAAGAAAATATGACAAGGGCCAAGCATCCCTTTAACACTCTGAAGCACCCTCCATTTTGTTGTTCCTCCCAGTTGGGGATCTATTCTTATGCTTAAAGGTGGACGCATTTAAGATAGCTTCTAGTCCGGATCAAATTGCATTCACTTCATTCCTGTTGCACAGGTATCATTAATACACAGGACTGAACTACCAGTAGTTTAACAATGGCAGAGCCTGGTAGAAGAATGGTTGGAGAGCTGAAAATCACTGACCAGACACTACCTGGTGGGACCATATGAGAATACATCACACAAGAGCTTCCACATGACTGTGTAGATTAGGTCTCAAGGGACCTTGGTCCTTTCTGCTTCCAGTTTTCATGTTTCTGAACTGAAACAATTCCACTGTTTTTAATGAATCTACCAACTAAGTAGCTGCTATTAGGTACTAGCATGCACTGCTAACTTCTCCCTACTCCACTATAATGTGCTCCACGACAACAGTATAACTCTTGTCATATAGGTAGGGTGAGGGTTGCATATTTGGTCTGTGGCTCTGTTCTTGTCTCCCTGTATTCCTGGCTTGTGTTGAAATTCATATAAATAGACTGTATATTCAGAGAACTTCCCATGTTACATTCTTCAGGATTCTGGACCTACAGTAAAAAGGCAAAACAAAAGATTTCAGTTCACATGGGTCAGTCTGGAGTACCTTGTGCCCTGTGTATGAAGAAAAAGGGAATAGTGGGCTTTTGTTTGATTTTGAGACCTTAAGGCTAGGGTCAGACATTTAAAAAGCCGGAGCCTGAATTGATTCGATCTTTGCAGGTTAGTCTAATCTGCAAAGATTAAACTGACCTGCCAGTGCACAGACATTCACAATTATATTTGGAAATGCAGGCACATGCCTGCAGTAGCTGAAGCTAGAAGCCTGGGGGTGCTAGAGCAACCATCCCTTCCCTTTGAGGCAGCTGCAAGGCTGGAGGGAAGCTGAGCTGGGAAGCAGGAGCTAAATATGATTGTGGAGGGGTTTAAACCCCAACCCTGGCATGTAGGGCATAGTCCAGGGGTGGTCAAAATATGGGCTGCAGGGTGGATCTGGCACGCCAAGCCATTCTATTGCGCCCACGGGGCCCCTAGAAAATTTACTAAATTAATATTTATTTGCTCCCAGCTGTCTGTCAAAGCTGACAGGAGCCAGGGGCAGTAGGACCCAGAGGGAGCCCTCAGCAGGCTTGTGGGCTTGAATAGCCCAGTCCCACCCACCCCCAGTTAGTTCCCTGCTTTCCTGCCCAAGCCCTGCTCCAGCACCACCTGACTGTGGCTCCCAGCTGCATCACTGGACTGTGGAGCATGGGAGTGCGTTGGTACAGGGGGGAGGGGTGTGTGTGTGTGTAGGTAGGCTCAGGGGCAGCGTGTGTGTACGGAGGCTTGAGGGCAAAGTGTGTGTGTATGCAGCCTTGGGGGTGGAGTCTGTGTGTGCGTGTGCGCGTGCAGGCTTGGGGGTGGAGTCTGTGTGCGTTCAGGCTTGGGGGTGGTGTGTGTGTATGTGCAGGCTCGGGGGCAGAGTGTGTGTGTGTGTGTGTGTGTGCAGGCATGGAGGCAGCATGCATATGTGTATCTACAGGCATGGGGGCAAAGTGTGTGTGTTCATAGGGTGAGTCCCACACGCACACCCCACCATATACTTGTACCCACACCCCCCTTCACACTGCCATACACAAACCCCAGCCACCCTCCCCCCACACACAACCCCCGACAGATCCCATACCCACCTACATCCCACATATCCACACACACACCCCCATGTTTTCTTCCTCCACATATCCACAAAGCCATAGCCCCCCACAAACCTGTACCCACCTCCACAATATACAAGCGTAAGACTTCATTTTAAGCTATTATGCAATCACCTCTATGTACACTACACAAACATGTAAATCAAGCCAAAAATACTTTTTGAAATCAAATTAATGAATGTTGTAGATGTTCGCCTTTTAGAATATAAATTGGTATTTTTCTGGTTCTGAAATGGCAAAACCCCTTGCTGAAAGGAGTACTTTTAGGGGCCAGGGGAGGGACTTCTGGTGACAAAAACAAGGGGTTAGGAGTCAGAACTTCCGGTCACAAGATGGTGACCAGAGGGTGGGGCACCTGTCAATGGCTGGGGCTACCCATGTGGCCCTCAAAAGCTTGCCAAAACACAGTAAGCGGCCCTCTGCTTGAAATAATTGCCTGCCTCGGCATAGGCAGTGGAAGGGGGAGCTAACAGGGCTTAGCCCTCCCAAACATGGGGCAGCGGTAGGGCTGCAAGGCAGCCCAGCTGAGGGCTTCCAGCAGCTGCAGTAGGGATGGGGAGGGAGTGGGGCTGGAGCTAGGGGAGGGGAAGGTGTTGCACAGCCAGTGGGGCGCAGGACTGAGCCACAAGTGATTCATCTAGGGGGCATGGCTCCTGCTGCTATGTGTACCCCAGAAGGCACGGGGGGTGGGGTGTGCCCCTGGATCTGTGAAGGGCAGGGCAGGCTGCTGCTGCAGGCTGGGGCTGGGGCCAGGGTGGCGCTGGGCTCTTCCCGGGGATGACTTGGAGTGGGGCAGGTTAGGTGCGGGGTTTCAGGGGTTCTGTCCCCTCTGGCCCGGCGGTGCAGCCAAGGCTGGTCCTGCTCTAGCCCCTGGCTCCAAGCCCCCCTGGGTGGTCCAGGGCTGGGGTCACTGCAGGGTGGCAGATTTGTTGGTGCGGAGGGTGCAGGCAGCAGGAACAATTCTGGTTGTGGGGGAAGGGGCTTCACAGGCACAGTGGGCCCCACCCCCAATCCTGATCCTGGGCCCTGTTTGGATCTGCTCCTTCCTGATCTCTGCTTGGTCCCAGACCCACTTCCTCCCCTCTACATGGTCCTTTCCCTTTGCTTCACCCTTTCCCCTGCAGACTTTCCCACTGGGGGGGGGGGCGGGGTGCGTGTGCATGTATACACACACTCAGCCTCTTCTAATTTTTTTTCTCTCTTTGCCTATACTGTAGGGACCACAGCAAGGTTGTGCCAGGACAGAGAGGGGTAGGGTGAAGCAGCCCTTGCCAGGCTTGTCTCTGAGGCCAGACACCAGCCAGGGCAGCACCTCAAGCAAAGGGGGACAGGGGTTGGGAATTAAACTCCTCTGTTTCTAAGCAGGCACAGGACCCCAGTCGGGGTCTACCCAGATTTTCCCTCTAATCTTGCTCAGGTGGCAAGGGGCTTGGCCAGAGCCACTAGCACGGACCTTCTATCTGCCAAGGGCTGGGGCTGTACCTGCAGCTAGCCCTGTGGGGTTATGGCCACCTGGCCTGGGAGTATTGCTGAGGGTGGGGGCAGAGGGACAGCAGATTGTTCCTGACTCCCTGTGCCCATGCTGCCTGGAAAAGGCTCTGCGGGGCTGGCCCATGGAGGCAGGGCCCTTCTCAACCCAATGGAGCTGGATTACAGTCCAGCCTGGCAGCATAGGCAGGGGCTAGCTGGTGAGTGGGCTTCCCAGGCCAGGTCAGAGGTGTCAGTGGGCCCCAAGTCTGGCAGGCATTGTCACACCCCCTGGGCTGTGCAGCACCCGGGGCTGCAGGTACACAGCCAGCTGCAGGCTGGCTGAGATGGGGGTGCTGTTCTGCCCGCCTCACCTCCTGCTGCCACTGCTGTGGCTGCGCTGCACTGCACTGCTCAGGGGCGGGGGGGAGCAGGAAGCTTCAGCTCCCCAGCTTCTGCCCAGCATGTGGAGCTTGGGCTCCAGCTCCCAGATGCCTGGGAAGGTGGAAGTTGTCTGGGTCTCCATGACAGCCCCACTGGCTTGGGCACTAGAAGCCATGCAGCTCCCATGGCCGCAGCCTGAGTTGAATCCCACTGGGAAGGGACCGACCCCGGTGGCCCAGACCAGGCTGGCCCCTCTGCTTTCACCCTCAGCAGCACTTGCAGGCCAGCTGGCCTTAGCCCTGCAGCCCCAGCCACTGGTGAGGGAGGTGGACGGCAGGTACCATGCCAGTCAGCTCTGGCCATGCTCCCTTCGCTGCTGTTGGAATGGGGAGTGGGAGAATGACTGACAGGGGCCATGGTCCCCCAGTAGGGGAGAGGGGAATAAACCCCCTCCCTATTCCCTTTGCCTCAGGGTGCCATGTGTCTGGCCATGCCCCCGCCCCTGCTTGGGCTAGAGAAGAGAGGGGAGGGGCCAGCCCTGCTCTCTGGAGCAGAGAGCACAGCCCCACCCAGGGCTGCAAATCATCTGGGATGCTGGGGGACTCCGATTTAATTTAAACCAGGAAGAGGGCTGGAACAGAAGTTGCATAAACTGGTTTGACCCACACCAGGTTTATCTTAAACCATTTTTGGCCATTTAAAACTGGCTTATGTGCACTGAATGTATGTTCTGTTACAGGTTTAAACCAGTTTCAGATCACTTAAACCAATTTATGTGTAACTTCTGTCCCTAGTCTAAGTGCAATGATTTGTATGGTGCTGGGCTACCTAAATAATTACTTCATTGCTTCAGTGATGGGTGCTAGAGTGTATCTGTAGATGAATGAATATCTGGAGGGATGGAACTCAGCCTTGTAGAGCTTGGGGATCAGTTAAGATTAGGAAGGAGATAAAGAACAGGGAGAGGTAGGTAGAAGAGCCAGAGTTTGATCTATAGATCCTTTATTCCAATGATGGGTTGAGAGAATGAGAGGAACATCACAGGCTTAGCAAGTAGAAGAGGTTCAGGATAGTTTGTTTTCTAAAAATGAGCTAAGTTGTTCTCCACAACCAACAGGAAGCTTGTTCTCACAAAGACAGATGCTAATCACATAGTGTGTGGGAAAGAACAAGGGACCTTGAACAAGACAGAACACAGAGTGAGCCCTGCTTGAGTCACAAGAAAAACCACGCTGACCTTTAGCAGGGGGAGAGAGCCTAGCTCTGAAAAGTAGGCCTCTGCTAAGGAGCATGCTCAGATGAGGAAGTG